AATAATCAATCAAGTGAAAATTAGTTTTAAAAATACTTTAAAAAGCTAATTAAAGTAGAAAAACAAACACTCCATTGTATTTAACAAAAGAAACAAAGATAACAGAGGAGACACTAATAAAAAAACAACCTGAAAATAAATTATCAAAAATTGTTGGTTTTGAACCAATAATTCATAAAGATGATGTTTTTTTTCCCCTTAATGTTCAGCTATTTTTATTAGAATTTCATGAACATTTATTGATAACACGTGCGAATATTTTAACGAGCCAGTTACCGAGGTAATAAAGGGTGGTGGTTTTGATTTCATAAATTTAGAAGCGTGTAGCGGGTGCAATTACTGGTTTTAAATTTAGCAGCAAAGTAATACCAACCGTATTAGCTTTACTTATAATGGCGGGAATTAACCATTTTGAACATAAATTGCGGGACGTGTAAACAGAGATTTCACTAAACCTTTTCTTGAGAGAAGGTGGGTTAGAGTTATCGTGTTATTAATGGTGTACACTCATCGTTAGTGAGTTCGCAACAACTCGTTTGTACAGGAAATGTACATCCTGTTTTTCAGGAAAACTTGGCTGTCAAGTCCGCTTTCCGAGCTAACGCTAAGTTATAGTGATGGATAATAAACTGGATTATAATTGCAATTAGTTTCGATTATAACATGATTATATATGTAATTCATTATTATATATCTATAGAGCATGATGCATAACAGGAAAACCTTCATTTCCCGGGAGAAAATCCTTAGGATATGGGAAATGTTAATTGGATATAGGTCAATATTATTTGTCTTTTGTTGGACAGAAAGAACAATAGTTGTAGTTTCTCCTTTTGCTTTGGTGAATCCTTTCATCATGGAGTTTCACGTGTCGTTCTATGAAAAACTCTTGTTCTTATTACAAGAAACCGAAAGATCTCTTGGATATCCGAAATTTCAATATTCCTTGCTTTCCGTTATCTTTCGCTGGATTTCTGGGTTTTCTTTGGAGACTGTACGCTGGTGACCAGTGGCCCCGATTTTATCTTGTTGCTTTTTGGCCCCTTGTTAAAACACACCATCAGTTTCTAGTTCCTTTGTCCAATATTTAACAGACATCCTATCCCTATCGTCCGAGTCATTTTAATTTTATTTTAGCCCCTTTCCTTTGTTAATGAATATAAAAGTAGGTGCACGAGAGACTAGTGAAGGGTTGTAGCTAACAAAGTAGACGACAAATCCATGTCTTCCATTAATGAATGCTTAATACTGAATAATAAAGAAGAAAATAAGTAGTTAATGTAATGAATTAACAATTCTTCTTCTTCTCTAGTACTTGATATGCCACGTAGAAAGGTAGGAATAAACAAAAGCTCACGCGTTGTACTGAAAAAGAAAAGCTAACACTGAAATACGAATATGCAAATACAGAAGGACGGATTCGATAGCTTTATTTGCTTTTCTTCTCCACCTTACATGCCAAGACATTTTCTTCCAACGTCTCCTTCTTCAACAATTGATTTACTGCATGAGAGTATAGACGCTGTGGATGTAGCCCCCTCGTCATTGTGATTATGGGTCATGTAACAAAATTGGAGCTGAATAATTCCTTGGTTCTGTTTAATGATATGGTTATCAAAAAACCCAGGATGCCAATATACAAATAACAACAGTAGGACCTTTTGCTCGAGCATCTCAATTATTTTCTTGCTCGAATGTATCATTACATCTGCACCAAAATAATCCAAGCACTGATCATCTTCTTTTTCTTTATAAATTGTGTAATCCTCTGTGGACCCTCCATCGAGATTGCGTTATTCTATTTTTTCCCTGATCTTGATTAGGTTTAATTAAAACAGAAGGCAACAGAGAAGAATTTGTTTGTTAATACTTAAGTGTTCTTTTGGTGTTTTTTTCCAGGTTCTACGCATCAGAGGTGATTGTAGCTTTAGAGTACCTTCATATGATGGGGATTGTTTACCGTGATCTCAAGCCTGAAAACGTTCTTGTTCGATCAGATGGTCATATAATGCTCACTGACTTTGACCTCTCGTTAAAATGTGATGATTCTACGTCAACTCCTCAGATTATCTCCGACAAAAAAGATGCTGCTGCAGCCCCAAAAAACGACTACCTGTTTGAGCATCCTTCTTATACTTCATCCTCATGCATTCTTCCTAACTGTATAGTCCCAGCTGTGTCATGTTTCCACCCAAGACGTAAACGCAAGAAGAAGATGGGCAACCGTGGTGGGCCAGAGTTTGTAGCCGAGCCCGTCGATGTTCGATCCATGTCATTTGTTGGGACCCACGAGTATTTAGCACCGGAGATTGTTTCCGGTGAGGGCCATGGTAGTCCTGTGGATTGGTGGACGCTAGGAATATTTATGTTCGAACTATTTTACGGGTATACGCCTTTTAGAGGTGTTGACCATGAGCTAACTCTAGCTAATGTTGTGGCTCGAGCCCTTGAGTTCCCTAAAGAACCAGCTGTGCCTGCCACAGCTAAGGACCTCATTTCGCAACTACTGGTTAAGGATCCAGCAAGGCGAATGGGTTCCCCCATGGGTGCATCAGCCGTCAAGCACCACCCTTTTTTCCAAGGAGTTAATTGGGCATTGTTGAGATGTACACCTCCACCATATGTTCCTCCACCATTTAGTAGGGAAGTTGTATCAGATGAAAGTTGTCCCGAGACCCCTGTGGAATATTATTAGCAAGTTGAACAAAGAATTAATAAATTAAATGCATCTCATAATAGTCTGGCCATTTCTTGATTATTTCTCAGTAAAATTTCTACCACTGCTGATATCGAGTTGGCCATATGGAAATGGCCATGGGGTCCGTTAATTTTAGCCAAGATTGTTCACCAATAGCGAAGCAGTTGATCCCAGTATTCTATATGCAAGAAAATCTCGGTGATTCGCAAACCCTTTCCATTTTCATGGTCAATGCATGCGTCGGAAACATTGAATCCCGACAACACAAACATAAAGAATGACACTGACTTCTTAATTAGGGAAAAACTAGGGGCACCGCGTTGTAGGTTGTCCACCGATCGCGAGGGCCCTGGGGATGGTCAGGCCACGAGGGAATGACTACTTGTTTTGTGCGTGTGTTTGCTTGTGAAGACCGAGCCCTCGCCCATGTGGTTTGTTTTGTGTACAGGGTAAATGTGGGACAAAACTGGGGGTTTTAGGAGAAGTGTCCTTGTTTTTGTTTTTAGAGGTCACATGAATCTTTCACAATAATTCTCTGGCAAGGTCTAATCTTCTTTATCATCTGAGGCACCATTCCAACTGTTTAATATGGGTTGGTGCTGGTTAAATTGTGGTAAAATATATTTGTCATGGAGGTGGAAGTTGGAGCTGTTTTATCAATTTGTGCGTGGTAGTCGTGCTTGCCTCCTAACAAGGCTACAATAAGAGGTACCAGCTTCTTTCTAGATCGGGTTGTTCCCCCTTCCCAGTTTAATCTTTTAGATTCAAACCCCACCACCGTCTTTTGGTAGAGTGGCATATGTGACCTGTATGCATGATTTTCAAGTTCCTCGATAACAGAAACAGCAGCTTACTTCTTCTTTTTTTTGCCAGAGATTTGTTTTGTACGTGAAATATTCTGTTTCTTCGAGTAGCGAGCTAGGTTGATTTTGGTTGGCTTACAAATTCATCACCGTATTATATTTTCACATCGTTATACTCCTAGGATCTAATTTCAAGTGCCAGTTTGTTGTCATTTTTCTCACGTTCTCCCCTCTGTGTCCTAAACAGGAGTTAGATGTTAGTTGATATTACAAATTCACATACCTTAATGTGAGTTGTTACTAAATTATTTGGTTGTGCTGCTATTTTCCTGCCCTCGACAACATAGTGCTTCCTGTTCAATCTTCAAAAAACAACTGAAAAAAAGAAGAAGAAGAAACAACTAATGTTAGAATTTATTTTTTTTGTATAATTTGATCAGGTCTGGAATCAAATTTAACTGGGTCAAATGAATAGTTAAGAATCAAGTTAGTACAATTAAATTTTACTGAGTTAATATTTTTTTGAAGTTAAGACCAGATTCTATATTTTGAAATTTTCATGTCAATTTACCAAGACAAGCCGCATCATGTTACTAGATAATTCAGATACATTGTATATCCTCCACTTGTTCAGCTAGAAAAGAAAAGGAAAAAGAAGCCTGCCTCAATTGGCAATTGCTATTCTCTTCTTCTTTTCCTTTTTTACCCAAAATACCACTTAACATATCTTTTAATTGTTTAATAATTATGAGTGGACAAATATTAAACATGGTCAATCGTTGCAATGATGATTCATAAGAAAAACAAAACAGCAGCTGGGGTTGTTGAGTGTTTGTTTGAGAGCATGATTATTTTTTTAAAATTATTTTTAAAATTAATATATTAAAATATTAAAAAAAATATTAATTTTTAAAAAAATATTTTTTAAAAAAACACAACATAAAACAACATTCTTAATTAAAATAATCTTAAGTGTTCTGGTGGAAATGATGACAGCCACTACAGATTAATCAATAAAAGTGGCTTTTTAGCAGTTTGGAGGGGCATATGGCATTCGGTTGTGCCCTTTTCTGACTCCACTGGTTTTTAAATTTGCAATAGACCCTATCTGGCCCCGGCTCATGGATCTTCGAACCTTTTACCTTCCAGGCTCGTACGTTGTCGGCCTACCAGGCTTCTACTTACAAATTCAAGCGTATGGCCCAATTTAGTATTAGCTGGCTCAATTTAAATTTTACACCGACCCGACCCGAAACCAGATCTTATTAAACCCTGTCTGACTTGTGAGTCGACTTGGTAACCTACCCACCCACAACTTGGAATGGCCAGGTTTTTATTTTTTCAATCATGAAAATTAACTCAATTAAACTCGGGGAATGGTATAACCTAATTAAAACATGATTAACTTGATTGGCAAACTTCATCAAAATTATTTTAAAATTCTTGTTAGAAAAGCATTGTCTTATAAAAGCTAACTTCCCTGCCTTTCAATTGACTCGATAAATTCGTGATTCAAGTTTTTTACCCGATCAGACCCACCACGTCTGATAACCAGGATCTATACAGCGACCCCGGTCACGGGCGGAAGCTGAAACCCGAGAAATCCATCCCGCTTAAACAATAACTAGCAGAAAAACTCCCTCACTGTGCTAACACTCTCTTCCCTGCAAGTTTAAACCCTAGAAATCAGCAGCAAAAATGGAGGAGGAGCCAAAAAACGGCAACTCGGCGACGCCAGTGGAGAACGACGAAGATGCCGTTATCGGACCTGGTCCAGCCCCTAAAGCCCGAGCCAAACGTCCTCTCCAGTTCGAGCAAGCTTACCTCGATTCCCTTCCTTCTGCAAACATGTAGGTTCCTCTCTCTTCTGTTTGCTTAAATTAAAAGAAACCCTTCTTTTTATGGTCAAATAAGCTCTTTAACTTTTTTTTTTCCCGAATTTCGTATCATATTTTAGGGTTTAGAGATTTTAAGCTTCCGTTAGGGTTTTATAGCTGTAGCTATAATAAATTTTAAATACAGAAGAAAGTTGCTTACTCATGATCTATTTTGCAGGTACGAGAAAAGCTATATGCATCGAGATGTGGTTACGCATGTTGCAATTTCCGCAGCTGATTTTTTCATAACTGGAAGTGTTGATGGTATCCTTTGGCATAATTACTTTACAATTATTCATTAACTGTATTCACGAGTTATTTACATAAGATGATGTGCTGTTTGATTATTTTTTGACCGTTTCTTTTATTTATGTTATTCAGGGCATTTGAAATTTTGGAAGAAAAAGCCAATTGGCATTGAATTTGCCAAACATTTTAGATCCCACCTTGGTCCCATTGAAGGCCTAGCGGTGAGCTCTTCCACTTCGCTTGATTTTATGCGTATCATGTTTAACTTGATTCTCAATTGATTTTTGCTTTGAATAACTTTATGAGTCCATGACCAATCAAGAGCTTTTATCAGTAAATAGGTTATAGCTATCTGTCATATAATTTGTACTGCGTGTTTTTTGGTTGTGTTCGTATGTGTAGTTTACATGGAAAAAGAAATGTCATCTGTGATTATTTAACCTGCCCTTTTAGTTTCTAGGGTACTAATTGTTGTTCATAAAATTTTCCTGTTGGTATTTAGACAGCAATCATTATTAGGTTGTTCCTATCATCTTGTTTTATTCACAAGAGTCAAAATCCTGTTAGTTAGTGCAGTCATCAACCATGACTTTGTTCAGTCATGCAGGTTAGCTTGGATGGCCTGCTTTGTTGCACGATTTCAAATGATCAATCTGTGAAAATATATGATGTTGTCAATTATGACATGATGGCCATGATCGGCCTTCCATATGTTCCTGGTAGTGCAGAATGGGTCTATAAACAAGGGGATGTCAAAGCTCGGCTTGCCATAAGTGATCGGAATTCCTCATTTGTGCATATATATGATGCACGAGCTGGTTCAAATGAACCAATAATCTCAAAAGAGGTAACTGGTCACATCAATAGCTCTCAATTTTCATAACATAAGGTTTTTACTCCTGTGATTTTTTTATGCCACAATAAAGATATTTATTTTCATTATTTTTTTATTGCATTTCTCCAGATACACCTTGAACCAGTTAAAGTTATGAAGTACAACCCTGTATTTGACACGGTAGTATCTGTTGATGCGAAGGGACTTATTGAATACTGGAACCCCTCCACGCTTAAGTTCCCAGAAAGCGAGTATGTTCACTTATATAGATACCTTCAGGATTTATTTAATTAATTTCCTTTATCCTTTTTGTACAAAATATCTATACAAGTCTAGGAGGGATCCAATCTTTAGGTGTGACTTTGTAAAATATTTAATTAACTATAAAACTTTGTTGCTGAGTTTATATGAGACAGGAAAGATTTGCTGGCACCTTTCTGGGTCTTGTGAGTTTTTTTGATGCTAGAAGTTTCCTGAAGTTGTCTTGCATTAATTTATCACTTGAAAACACATACTTTATGTTTTGCATCCTCACACCAATGTATGTGTGGGTTGCCTTGTCAACCTGTTTTCACAACAAATATAACTCAAAGCTTGAAATCTAGGCTTCGGCAAATCATGGTTGGAAATGGTTTCTGTTGTACAGTTTCTTTTACACATCAATTGGATGTTTATTAGTTCTGGAGTTTCTTATATTGATGGATTTCTTAACTTTCTTTTATTTATTTTTTATTTTTTAAACTTAGCAACTAGCAGAAGTGTTGAACTTTTAGAAACTTATGTCACTAATATCCTAATATGTTCTTCAGAAGATTTTTCTAGAAGCTTATGTTAGCATTATCGTACCATGTTCTTCTGTAGATTTGTCCCTGTTTGTTACCAGGGGTGCGATCCTTTTGAGTTTGTAGATAAAGTTTTATTTTCAAGTCATATTGAGACATTAAGGTTTGCCTGGTTTCCTCTAATTGTACCAAATTCCTAACAGTTTCTCTTGTCTGGTGCAAGCAGGGTGAAGTTTAGATTGAAAAGTGATACTAATCTATTTGAAATTGTGAAGTGTAAAACAAGTGTTTCCACAATGGAGGTACTATACATTCTGGTTCCGATATGAGTGTGGTCTACAAATTGATATTGTTGACTATTTTATGCTTGATATCAGTTTGTTGTATTGATTTTTGTATTGTTTACAGTGATATCAAGCACAAAATAGGCAATAATATCTATTGGTTTACAGTGAAATATCAATGCGAAAAACTGGAAAAAAATAGTTACGATAACTGTACATGTTACTGTTGTCCATCAGGTCAGCCCAGATGGTAAGCAGTTCTCCATTACATCACCTGATCGAAGGATACGTGTATTTTGGTTTAGAACGGGTAAACTAAGAAGAGTTTATGATGAATCTCTTGAGGTAATACCAATTATGAGTGGATTTTCATTTATAATTTATTTTCCTGTGAAGTCTTTTGTAATGATAGATTACCTTGTGTTGGTTAGGTGGCTCAAGATCTTCAGAGAAGTGATGCTCCCATGTACCGGTTGGAGGCTATTGATTTTGGGCGAAGAATGGCTGTTGATAAAGAAATTGAAAAGACAGAAACTGCACCACAACCAAATGCTATTTTTGACGAAAGCTCAAACTTCCTCATATATGCCACCCTCCTTGGAATAAAAGTAAAGATACTACTGCTAACACAAATTAGGAATGTAAATTTTTTTCCTGCACTGCATTTTATTTACTTGTAGTAATCATGACTGTCTTTTTGTGTGAATATATATTGCTGTACTCCTGACATGTTATTTCTTACCCCCCCTCCTTTTTTTCTTGCTTTTTTTAAGGTAGTGAATTTACAGACCAATAAAGTTGCCAGAATTCTTGGAAAGGTGGAGAATAATGACAGATTCTTGCAAATTGCATTGTATCAAGGTGACCGAAGCAGCAAGAAAGTCAGAAAAATTCCTACAGCTGCAGCAAATGTCAATGAGAGCAAAGAGCCTTTAACAGATCCCACTCTCTTGTGTTGTGCTTTCAAGAAACACAGAATTTATCTATTCAGGTAATGATACTTCTCAAATTGACTGATCATGCAAAATACTGGCTGAAATGAATGTTTTTCTTAAAGGCGTTCTACAATGATGCCAGTATGGGTGGAGCAACTGTGTAAATGTTCGCACCTGGCCGCTAATTATTAAAAAACAAATCTGCCACTGTGGAAAGCAGTTAAGATATGTAAAAGTGAGAAAAGTAAAAGTAATTTCTAATTTCCATGCCAGAGGACAAACCAGCTGTCATACATATTTCCACCTCTTAGATGTTTTTCCCAGAAAGGCCTAACTAGTGTGCAAGAATATGCTTAGGCCACAAATACGTTTTACTATGAAAGATATATTTCTTGCATCTTCTATATGTTTATTCCCTTTTCACCATGAAAAGAAAATATGCTTCCTTGTCTTTACTATCTTAATATTTTTATCAAATTAAAAATGATTTACACGTCTACATTAATAATTTGGGAAACACAAAACACGTTAGAAAGGACTTGTGCTAAGTTTTTCTCAAAACTTGGACTTCTTTTGAAGGTTTCAACAATCAAGGAAAATTAAGTCTGCTGTCTTTTATTTTAAGTATCATTAGTTTTTGATGAAACAAAAATCACCTGAAATGCTAATGAAATTACTCAAGTGTGTTGACAAGAGAAGTATAAAAGACATTATATGAATGATATTATAGATACCTTGTAGATTGGTCACCATTATCGGCAAGAATAAACTACATTGAATTAAATGCCTTCAACTGAAATTTGTTTTAAATGATTTATCATAGTGCACCAAGAGTTACCTCCGACACTTTGGATCTAAATGTCACGTTTTTTTTGTGATTATTTATAATGGTGCAAATAGCCGTCGAGAACCAGAGGAGCCTGAGGATGCAACTAAGGGACGGGATGTGTTTAATGAAAAGCCTCCACCAGATGAACTTTTGGCTGTATCAGATATAGGAAAAGCAGTGACAACATCTCTTCCTGACAATGTGGTGGGTTTTTTCTTTCTGATATCCAGGAGGGGACTAGATCATATACTGACCTATAAAATTGATTTGGATATTTTATTTATCCATTTAATTAATAAATTTCTTGTTTAGCGTACTAAATGTGCACTTCTTTTTATTGAATTTGCTGAATATTGCTTTGCCTCATGTTAACATGCATTTCTGTTTGCATGATTGTTTGTCTGCGCGTCTGAGTACACCCTAGCGTTGGTATTTGTATGTTGGTGTATGGGCTTCTGTAGGTGTTTTTGTGTCCTGTGTAAAGTACAGGAATGTATTTTGAACGCGTCGCTTTTTCTTTCACTTTCCTAACTGTGAAGAAACTAAAATCTCATATTTTTGCATGGCACATGAATAAGACAGCCTTCCATTGGTAGTGCATTTGTCGAAACTGATGGATGAAATGGCATTTACATATGACTATGATTCCATCAAACATTTTTTTTGACTAATCTCAATTCCCCCTTTCCAGATTCTGCACACTACTATGGGAGACGTTCACATGAAACTGTACCCTGAAGAATGTCCAAAAACTGTAGAGAATTTTACAACACACTGCCGAAATGGCTACTATGATAATCTTATTTTTCACCGTGTCATCAAGGGTTTCATGATACAAACAGGAGACCCATTGGGAGATGGCACTGGTGGGCAGTCTATTTGGGGAAGGGAATTTGAGGACGAGTTTCACAAAAGGTAATCTTTTGAGAGAATTACATTTTCATCAGGTTATTTGTGCTTCTCCAAGGTGTTCCTCCCGCCAGCATTTTTAAGAAGCCTCTGCCTGCAACTTGATGACATTTCAAATTATAATAAGAAATCTCTGTTCCTAACTCATGGCTGGTTTCAATATTTATAAATGATATTTAAGTTGTTATCCTTTTTGCCTTTGGTAGTTTTATTTTTCTTCTATGTTGGGCTTCCAAGTTCCAACCAACCACAACCATAATAATAACAAACTTGGTGGCATGGAATTTGATTCTTCAGATTACATTAATGTTCACATTGATTTAGATCAGCTCCAGACAATTAAAGACCTGGTAGAACTTTTATGCATGTTAATTTTTGGTACATGGGCAAGTGGCTTTTTTTGCTGCTTATTCTTTTTTCAATTGCTGTTATTGTTATTTAATTTTGTCTATGCATCACATCACATGCAACTGACTGGATGAAACATTTCTTTTCCTGCAGTTTACGACATGACAGGCCTTTCACGGTATCAATGGCAAACGCAGGCCCAAATACAAATGGTTCCCAGTTCTTTATCACCACAGTGGCCACTCCATGGCTGGACAACAAGCATACGGTGTTTGGTAGAGTTGCGAAAGGAATGGATGTTGTACAGGTAAACTTGAGCCTTCAATTTTGTATTCAATGGTATTTGCCCATCTTGCTGTTAAATCTTTCTGTATTTTCTGCACGTGGTGCTTGGGAGAGAATCCATTGTTTTGCTCAATTCCTTCATTAACTTCCTTACCCAATATATAGATCAAGAGATATTTCTTGCCATTTAGTTTGGGTATTGTCCTGCTATCCATGGACTGATTGGTCTGCCTGAATGCCAAGTGCTCTAGAACCGGAATTGGATAAACACGCCCTTGTAACATTTTATTATGCACATTTGCATGTTACTCAGTACTTGTTCTATATTGATGTCAGGCTATTGAGAAGGTGAAGACAGACAGAGGAGACAAGCCATACCAAGATGTAAAAATCCTGAACGTGACTGTCCCCAAGTCTTAGCAGAATCTTCCTTTTAGTGGTAAATCTATCCTGACATGGTTGTTGGTGCGGCTAAGAATCATATGCCAAAGTAAGTGCGTTGTTTTCATCTCCCTACTCACTCACCTGCAGTGTATTTTCACACCTGGGGTTCTTTATTTTTTGTTTATGATTTAGTGCATCTTTTTTAGTTTCTCCTTTCTTTTTGGAAACTCCTGTTGGCATATATGAAAGTTGCGAAGAAGGGATGGAATTTCCGTTTAATTTTTAGAAAAGTTTACTCTTATATTAGACTGCAGGAAACTCATTGCCTTCTGTGAGCATATCAAATCATGTTCTGTGGCACGGAAACATGTTTCATTCCATTCTCTGATCAACTGAGGCCACTGGCTGATATGTGAGTGACCACATCAAATATTTTTAAAAATTTCCAAAAGAAAGATGCAACCAAATGGTATCTACTCATCAGTGATCGAAGGTTTTTATAAATGAAAAACTAAACCTAAAATAAGGAAATGACAGTCTAGTTTCTCTGATTTAAGTTGAGAGAGCTTAACCAAAGATTCATAATGAACTGTGTTGTGTGTTATTCTTCAAAATTGTTGACCATACAATGTTGAGCTCCTTGAGCTATTAGTTGGGATGGATTGGACTGCCAAAGGTTTTGTCAAGCTGGCAACTCGTTCTTATAAAGTAGCTTGCTAATTTTATTTCAACAGAATTTTCCAAAAGAACACATCCGACATATTTTTCCATAATTTTTTTGTCTGTTTTGATATCTCCCTCATTTTGCCCATAACATTTTCTCTGCATCTTCAGCAATTACATTATTTGTAGTATTGTTGAATCCAAGTGCCCAGGTGCCTCACTGTGAATTTTGTTGCTCTGACAGGTTTTGCATGTTGTCGACAAGACAGCAAGGAAGATTACCATTATCATTCTACAGCCCGAGAGACGTGCCTCCAAAGAGGTCCTGCACTTCCTTGGTTCTCTTACCCTTGTTATCTGGGATGATGCACGGACAATTGTTGTATATGGCACGATTCCCATTTATCCTTTTTAAACTTTTCTGTAGTGTTTTCACCAAATCCCATCGCTTTAATACCTGTTTTAGATCAACTCTCATCGCTTTTCACCAAGTAGAACATCTTTGAGTTCTAACATGTTTGGTACCTGGATTTTGATAGCTGATTTTCTTGGTGATATCATGTTACAACAGCCAGGGAAATTGCGTGCTTTGTTTCTATTGATTTCTGCATGTTTCTTGTTCCCATGATTCAAACCTACGTCGTTTACTGGAATGATGGGTGACTGCCAGCAGAATTGATATTTGTCCTTCACCTATGGGATTCTCCACGACCCAGCCATTAGATCCATGGATCCGCTACCGAGCTCTGTACATACGACGGCTGAGCCATTTCTGGAACCTTTGGCTATTATCGGTCCTTTGGATTATGCCTTCTTGTTGATTCCCTTTACCATACTCGCGAGCACGCTGGTAGCTTTATTCCATTTTCTTGATCTTTCCTTCTTCGTACGAAGTGTTTACGACGGTTAAATCATCTTCTCTTTGAAGGTGTTGGATGCCCCTTCTCATTATAGTTATAAGATCCCAACTCGGATCGAGGTGGGTGCATCAATTCAAGCAATGTTTTTTTTTTTTAAGAAGAAAACAAGATATTATTTTGATTAAAAAAAAATGCTTCCAAGTAAAATTTAACTTGCACCAGATCAGATTTTGGGCTGGTGAATCATCTGGTGCAATGCCAAATAACTGCAGATTTCCTAAAATGTGTTGTTCAAAGCACAAATGATAAGAAGGGATTAGATTTTTCTAAACACAAGATTAAAAGAACACCAAATAAGGCATTAAAATTTTAAATTGAAAAAAGTTTGAAAAATTCTCTACACAACTGCCTTCTCGTTAGCTGATTTAGGAATGCTATTACTCCCACAACAGAACACAATTTAAGAAGTTTTATTTTTTTTGGTTACAAACAAACAATTTAACAAGCTGTCATATTCTATTCTGCTTTCTTTAAAATGATATCTTATTTTATCCCATGGTTTTTAAACCAACTTGAGATAAATCTTGAATAGAAAATCAAGTAAGATGATTTAAGTTAATCTGAATTAATTTAATATTTTTTTTATTTTATAAAAAAATAAAAAATATTATAATTAAAAAAATCATCGAGTTCTGATGGTATTTTTTGAGAGACCATGTTAAAGGTTAACCGGTTTTTTATATAGGAATCAATTTTCTCTTTATTTTTATTAAAACTTAACTTGGTCTATACTCCAAATCACCCAACTCGCCAGTTTACGCCGGGTTTCAAACGCTACCTGCTCTTTTATTTTAAACTACCCCGCGTGAAGATACGAGGTACAGAGGAGTGATGGTTTTACTACCAAATTTAGCTGTCTCTGCCAGTTTAGATATGATAGTCACAAACTGCCTCTTCATTTTCCACTGTCTCTTCCCTGCATACAGCTATATATCTATATATATAGGTTCACCACTGCATGCTCTCTCTTCATCTCTTCATTCCGCTCCTTTTTTTGTGTGTGTGTGTGTGTGTTGGGGGGGGGGGGGGGGTGTTA